TCGCTCATGATCAGAGAATGAATAAATTCATTATCTTCTCGAGCCATTCTTTGCAAGCGAACTGCATAAGTTAGTCGTTCTTGAAAATCTGCTGGTTTTAGTTCTTGCACTAGCTGCACTTTATATGGAAACAGATGTAAATTTCCTCTTAATATTCTGCGTAAAGACCTTTGAGACATCTGCAGCTCAGCAGAACGTCTTCGGGTTGAGGTTTCCGGATTCTCCTGAACACTCTCCTGAACGCGTTGAATGTTCCCTTCATTTCTTGCGGAACGTGGCCTTCCGCTTCGTGGGAGATCCATAACTGTGCCTTGTTGCTGAAATCGTGCCACTAAGCGTCGAATCATTGATTCAGAGGGCGAATTCCGCAAATTGAAATGACGACGATATGCTCGTTGAGTTTGAATTATTGAATGGTGATATTCAAAATAAAATTCTATAAGTTTGGTTCGTTGATTGAGGTTGTAACGCTCCATAATTAATCTCCAGGATTTATTTTACACGGTCCTGAAAAAAAAATGAAAACAAAATAAATTTAAAAAAGTTATTAATTTTTCAAATCCCTTCGTGACTTTTGCCCCACCCTGTATATGCAGAATCCGGTACCACACTTTGGAAATCAAGCTTTATAGCTTCTGTGCGTTTGGCTTTTCGGTACGAATTCTTTGAGTGGACGACTTACTTGTAGGAAACTGGTCAGTGCTATGGCCAAGTGCCTCAATAATAAAAACAGCATTTCTCATACTTAACTGACACCTAACTAATGATGTCACTAATTTTGGAGATATGAAACTTTTCCTCATTTGAGTTTGTAGTATCAGGCTGTATGCTCTGAGTTGGGATGGACAAACTTGTTTGTAAATCTATCTCAGAATCTGAAGATGAATTGTATTGCACTTGTTCGTAAGATGATGTCGAACGACATATTTAGCTCGCCGCTTTTGTTCTTCGGTGTTCCTAAGACGCGCCTTTTCTCCTTTTATGGCTTATTTCTTGTCCACCCCAGGTAAACGCCCAGCTCGACCTGGTTCTCTCTGCCGCTACAAGAAGATCCTATCTTAATTTATTTTCATCAGTTGAGGCTCATCGGCATCGTAACAAACTCTTATCGATGCTGCTCAAACACTTCTTGTGTTTTGCTGGCATTTTTTTGCAAATCTCCAAACTTGGTATAAGGTAACTAGTTTCTTAACACAGTTGCGTAGAGATTTAGTCGGTATACGTGACTTTTCTCAGTAAACAATGCACTCGCGAATAGTAAGGTTGGCGCTCTCATTGACACTTAATTTTCACTTTCTGGTAATTATAGAACAAAACTGCTAGTACGTGTCCATTAGATTAGAGTTTTGAACCGGTAATTTGATGCTTTACGTCTCCTGTTAAACATATTCCCTGTTTTGAACTGCGTATTTACTTCGACATGTTGACTGAACGAAAACAATGCGTTTACTAATAGTACAAACGAGCACTGCAATACGTTCGCTAGCGCACGCCTAATATGCAAGTTTTGACATGTACGAACGCAACTCGGCACGGGTTGTCCTGGTTCTAGGTACATAAAACTTTATTTACAATAATTGTCTTGACATTGTTCAAGCAAAATCAGAGGGTATGCAGTTGAAAAAAAAGAACTTTCTTTTTTTTTGGGACACCATTATATATATATATATATATATGTATATATATATATATAAAGAGAAAATGATCATGCGGAGACAGGTATATAACAAAAAGTAGGAAAATAATGGGCAAAATCCGCAAAAAGGAGGAAAGTGGCTTCGAGCAGAATGTAGGATAGGTAACCCGAGCGATACGTATTTCTGCTGATTGGCTTCATCAGGCCCGAAATAAATGCACATATGAAACTACAAAAGTAGATACACATGCCTACACATCCGGATGCCGGTGTAACCTAACGAAACGAAAATGGAGATGGGAAAAAACGACACACGAAGTCCACAACAAGAGCCAACTTAACATAAAATGGCTAGAAGACCTCGAATTTTCAAGGACACATCTAACGACAACCACGCGGCCGGTTATAGCCACTTGCTGTGGTACTTCAAGCCCAAAGGATCTTTGTAGATCCTTTGGAATCTTCCCACTACGGCTTTATTGAAAACCACTGATTAAAAGAAAAAAACGCCGAGACACGTCAAGAGATTTGTCAAGGGGGACAACTTTTTAACCAAAAACTACTTCACCCCCTTTTCACCCTAGGCCCCCAGGGTCATCCCCTTAAAAATTTTAAATGACAAAGTGTATCGAGTAATAGCTTGTTTGGAAGTCCTTTATTTTGACGTTTGATTTTTTAAAATCGGTCGATTCGTTTTCAAAAAATTTAGATAAATCTTTATTTACCTTAATTTGTTCAGATAGAAAACAAAAACACGAAATTATCACTTTTTATTTAAATAAGCGTTCAAGTTGTTCCCCGTTATTGGCCAAACAATGATATAGGCGATGCTCAAATTCTTGACGGACATTTTCAAAAACATGTTGGATATCATGGCAGCTTTCGATGATGCGTTGACGAACTTCATCCAAACTTTCAGGAAGGGGAGTCTGCACAATATATTTCAAATGTCCCCATAGAAAAAAAGTCTAATGGCGTCAAATCAGGAGGTCTAGCAGGCCATTCTATAGGCCCTCTTCGCCCTATCCATTTATCTGGAAACTCGTCGTCTAGCCATTGCCGAACCGGAACTTATAGCGAGGAGTAGCGCCGTTTTGCTGGAAATATATTTCAGCCTCATCAGGTATAGGGTTTCCATCCTCTTCGATTTAGTTTTCAATGGTTTCAGTGATAAGCGGATTGATGGTATTTTAAAACATATCCAAATAAATGTCTCAGTTCAGATTTCCGTTGTTCATAAAACTCAACCCGCCTATCGAAATCATCTTCGGCTAACTCTTGCAATATTTTTATTTTGAGTGGATGAAATTTATGGAGTTTAGTAACTGTGTGTACAGAGCCTAATGAAATACCAGTTTCAGCAACAATTTTTGCCTAAGTATTTGGATTTATTTCAAAATGACCTAAAACTTCTACTTGAGCGCCTTCATCCAAAACTCTCCGATGATCACGTTTTATATTCGCAACAGATCCAGTTTGAGTAGATTTAGTAACAAGGTCCAAAACATATTTAGGCGAAGTTATCTTACCTGGATGTCTGGCGAGCACATTGATTTTGGGCACCATACATTAGAATCATTTCCACTCTTTCGGCTACTGTGCAAACCATTTTGGAAGTAAAATCTGAATAATGAATTAATTTTCACTATCCCAAGATTGTCACAAAGGTAAATGACAGCAAATTAAATGTTTACCTTAGCAACAAATAGCTAACCATGTATAACAATAAATACAGTTCGCCCAGGATATCTATGTTGATGAAAAGAATACGGAAAAAAAAGTCGGGTTGTTATTTGCTTGTTACGTCGTCTAATTTTCCGAATTGCTGGTTTATGTTGGTTGTTTCCGTTTTAAATTATAAACGAATTATAGATTTGGCAAACCCTAACGGGCAACATGTTTTTGAAAATGTCCGCCAAGAATTTGAACATCACCTTTATCATTGTTTGGCCAATAACGGGCAACATTTTGAACACTTATTGAAATAGAAAGTGATATTTTCAGGTGTATTTGTTTTCTACCTGAAAAAATTAAGATAAATAAAGATTTATATAATTTTCTTGAAAACATTTTAAAAAATCAACCGTCAAAATAAAGAACTTTGAAAGGCCTTTCAAACAAGCTATTACTTGATAGCCCTTGTCATTTAAAATTTTTAAGGGATGACCCTGGGGGGCATAGAGCGAAGTAGTTTTTTGACGTGTCTCGGCGTTTTTTCCTTTAATCGGTGGTTTTCGATAAATCCGTGTTGGCAAGTTTCAAGTGAACACCCTATATATATATATATATAACTTGAGACGTGGTCATTGTCGTCTAGACCAGTTAGGTGAAAAATTAAAGCTTCCGCCTTTTGTTGGGTACTTCGACAAAATTTAAGCAAAGAGGACTCTTTCTACTTTTTTTAATTCTCTCTAGCTTTCAATGGACTTTGCCATCATACGAAAACAACAATTAGCAAGTCCATTGAAAGCTAGAGAGAATTAAAAAAAGTATAAAGAGTCCTCTTTGCTTAAATTTTGTCGAAGTACCCAACAAAAGGCGGAAGCTTTAATTTTTCACCTATATATATATATATATATATATATATATATATATATATATATATATATATTCATTATACAACATAAGTAAAAGTTGCATCTGTTTTGATTAACGCGAAGCATTAAATTGAATGTGCTGGGATGAGATGAGATCATAATTTGGTTCTCTGGATGTTAATTTTAATCTGAGTTGCGGTCAACATCCAGTAACCTTTTCCTTTTTTTAACAAATGTCTACCATTGTTGAAAAAGCAACTTCACATAAATATGAAGATGATCTTTCTGACCTCATTGTAGAACATCCTTGACTGTTTTCGCGCGACACAAATCGTTTCCATTCCCTTCGATGTGCGAGCACGTTTATAGGTTTAGATGGTTCTTATACAGGATGTTACTTAATGATAGGCCGTAATTACAAGAACGCAGTCCCGAACCAAAAAGTATAAAAGTCCATATAAAGCATGTGTGTTAAAAAGTTAGGTTTCTAATAATGGGCTTTTATTAATATCTCAAAGATCCTGCGCCGATTTTGTTGGATCTTGGCAGTATTGTGCATTGCAATAAGACGCTAACAGTAGAAGATAATTATGAATCTATGAATCCCAGTGGCATTGTGTGCCACTGACTTTTGAAATATGTTTTTTTTCGGATTAAGCTGTTAATGATACAGCTTTATTTGTTTCTCTATATCCCTTATTATCTTACTTCGACAAAATAGAAACAATTTCGTTACATTCTAAAAAATTGTCAAAATAAAATCTAATCCACATTGATCGTTCCTAGGAAATGATGTTCTGTTGTAATTATAATTATTATGGCCTATAAAATCGTATCTAATTTATTAATTAGGATCCATAATATATAATATTGTTCAGTTTTAATATTATAATAATGTTTTTGAATATGTTTCAGATAAGAATCAGAGCAATGCAGGTCCTGCCAGCAATATGCAAAGACTCCAAAGAGTATGTACCAAAAGTAACATATATTCTGGCACAACTGTTGAAACTTGATGAATCTGATGACAATACCCCTACAAATACTTTGTCTCAGATTTATAAGGAAGACCCTGTTTGTACACTCAAGACAGTTTTTAACCATGTCAGCAGTACCGATGATGCAACAGAAAGGGAGAAGTGTTTGCAGTTTATTTATAAGAAGATTATAAAAATGGAGGAAAAATTGACAAGTGAAATCTATGATCTGTTATTAGAAGAAGGGAAAAAGATAATACCAGTAAGTTGGTGGTCATGATCTTTACCGAATAAGCATAGTTTAGAAAGCTACACAGCCGGCTTCACAGAAACTTAGCAATTACAATTAGTCCATAGAGATTCTTTCCCTGTCCTACCGGTAGACCATCTGACAACGTCGCCTCCCCCCTATACCTAACTCGATCAGACGTGGCAGCGCGGTCATAGCATAGGAAACACCATGTTCAGGCGCGGCAGTAATTCGTGTAACACAAGAATACTCACTAAGGCCGGCGGCACGCTGCCGGGAACAGCAGACGCGGCCGGTAGGTATGCGATCCATCTGCATATAACTACCAATGTTGGGTTCGTATAAATATACTAACATCAACGTCACCATACTACAACCCCCACCCCCAATACTTTTTTACCCCTGTACGTCAAAACACGAAGTTTGAGCGTTTTTTTTCGTTTTTGACCTCCTTTCTGCCGCCACTGCACCGATTTTCGAAAATTACAAAGCTTTTCTGTCCTTGGCTTAGTGGTAACATTGTTTAAAAACTTCATTAAAAGCTGGTCCGTACTTCTCAAGTTAAAGACGAATATAGGATTAGCAGACAGTCATACGGAAATCAGTGACATGGCTTTCCGTGATTAACATTAACATCCAAAAAACATCTTATTTTGGAAAATGTTTGCAATTGCAACACTTCCCTGCAACAGGCGTGGGAAGTTTCCAGTCTTTATGACGCCACTGACCTTTTTGGAACATCTATTGCATTATGAATATGGTGTTCAGTTTTACTTGAATCGCATTTTCGTCAGACTGCTCTTTTTGGAGAAAGATTGATTTGAACATTTGAGACAAAATCAGCCCGTTCCAGTTTCAAAACACGCTAGAGTTGATGAAATTTTACTTTTAAAATTGTATATAGCGTATTAGGGGACTAATCCTAACTCAGTGTAGCATTATTTGAGAAATGATCATGTTAAGTCCTTATTCATTTTCATCAGTGGCGTAGAAATCTACAACACCCTGTAGCTTGTCGATATGACATTTCAGGACCTGTGCTAATAGGAACTTTTGAGTGCAAATATGAAATATCTGGAATATTTTACTATACAGGGTGTTTCAAATTCGATCCTCAACATTGGGATCTCGGAAACTGTTAGAAATACGTAGTCGCTTAAATGAGGGGAAAGTTTGGTTTTCCGGAAACCAGCCGTTCGTAGCCTGCCTGTTAACTGAAGAGTAGAGGTGAGGGTGGTTAGGCATAATAATAATATTATATGATAATAAACAATTCCTTGAAAAGGGAGGGGGGTGAGTATGGAGGGGAGGGTTGTTGGACACGTCTAATCTGAACGAAACCATAAGTTTTATTCATAGGGGGCAAAAATCGATTGAAAATTAAGTGGCGTCAGGAATGCTAAAAATCGCCATATATCGCCAATTTGCTGGATACTGGGCGCCATTAAGGTAGCCGATCGCCAAGCTATCCATTTTAGTCGCCATTTGAAGCCGTCAAATCCCCAATTTGGGGAAAAATCGCGACGCTTGGAAACCCTGCCGTCCACGCGTTGACGACGCAGACGATCTCTCACTATATGGTGGGGGTTATTCAGTAATAGTCCAGTTGAATTTCGAACCCTGAGCTCGCTTGTGTGCAGAGAAGACATCGTCAAATGCTCATCACCATCGGCCATCGTCTATTCTTTACATATTTGCGTTGACGTATGTCAGCCCAACGTATAGACGCGGCTCAAGAACTGCTAAATCTCTTATCATGGTCGTAGATCAAGAACTACCGGTGATCAAACTGATTTGCGAAGATGATTATGAAAATAACGTGGAGCCTCGAAAGCGAGTCTTTTAATGACTCATTGGACTTCTGTATATCCTGTAATGTATTCCTATCATTGCTACTTATTTGTAAACACGTTCACACCTTTTTTTTTTACAGCTCTAGGTTTTTTGTCGTTGTTCCAATTCTAAATGAAAATACTATCCCTCACTTATCCAGTCAATCGGTACAAGTAAGCGGCTGAAGAGAAATTACTGCATCTTGTAGTCTACTTAAACGCATACATTTCAAAAATTCCATTAATATGCATACGTCGGTGAACGCCACAACTACAAACGACCGTATTATTCGAAAGCGACTCGCCGATCACTGAGAGTGAGCCACTTGAGGACGTCCAAATATTAAAAGAGGATCGACCGCGACAACGGTGCGGCGGCTGGTGATATGTGTACGCCTGCACTAGCCCCCGCAAGCCTCCCCGCCAACAAGCTATCAGCAAGCTATAGCGTGAAAACTAAGCAATTTAGCAAAAAATTTGCAGAGACCTTTTCTGATGGCCCAAAAATTAGAAAAACTAAGTGTAAAAAATCCCAGATATCCTCAGCCGTTTCAGCGAAAAAGAGGTTTTTTGGGTTTTTCGCTGTTTTACAAAAAACGCCTGGTTTCCGGAAAACGTAACACGTCAATATTCGTAAGCCTTTATTACACCATTACGCCAGCAGACATAACTATGTGGCTATGTTATCACTTTTGCCGCAGTTTCGACTATTTAACTGGACTATCAAATTGAACATAGTATCAGAGTTTGTAAGACTAAGAAGAGAAATAAATCGAGCAGTGAACATTGAACAATATACAGAGAAGAGACAAGCTTTGCCTGCAAAATAACGGACAACATTTTGAACATCTGCTATTACCTCTCATTTTACGATTATTATTGTTATTACCATCACCAAAATATTCATTTTGTGGTCAGGTTTCACCATACCTTTTTATTTCCTTATTATTTTCATCTAACAATAAATTATTCATGACAACTAAGGAAATACATACATCACTGAACTTAGGACTGAAAATTTCATTTCGTAAATGTACAAAATTTCAATATAGCGTCCATATGAAAGTTGGTGATGGAAGTCGACAGAAAAAATGGCGACTTTAAAATTTAACAAGCAATTTATTTTTAAATCGCACTTCGAATACAGTCAGGAAAAATAAAAGTGATTTTGGGATATATCTGTTATGCGAAACAAATGGCTATCTGATCGTTTCAGAACCATCCCAGGAAATTCTGTTTTTTTTAAATAATTAAGGTTTGGCAATGTTAATGTGACGTATCATACACTTTTTTAATCAGAATTAAAAACTATTCATCGGTACAGAAATCCATTATGGCAGCCATAAGAAAAAATAAAGTTGATGCTGGAGGACAAGAGACGAAACGTCCCAATAAAATTCCAATTAAGCTTTCTTGTAAAGAAGAAACATTGGCAATGTTAATGTGCAATTTATTTTGAAATCCCACCACAAATAAAGGACAAAATTAAAATGTTTTTTCGACTCTCTCTAGAAGTGCTTTGCATTTCGAAACTTTCTAAGCGGCATTTTGTTGATTACCTGAATACGCAACTTTTCCCACATTTAAGCGACATCGTATGGCTTACAGTTTCCGAGATCCCAATGGTGAGAGTCGAATTTGAAACACCGTGTATAGTTGGTATTCACTTTGATTTATTATAACATACCATAATTATAATATAATATGCTGTTCCTGAGTGTTAAAATCGTGTACATTATCACATTTCACCAAAAAAATCAGTAATCCAGCAATTCAGATCTCGTAGATAATGTGCAACATTGCCAATACTTCGAATGTTACAATCCATGTAAATGTTTTGTACAATCACGTATTACTGCACCAAAATAAAAATTAGGTTTGGAAAAATTCCCACAAATCTGAAAATTAGTACAGAACCTGAATACACTATCATGAATAATATATCAAAACTCCTCATATATCCTTATTAAAGCGAAACCTTGTTTCATTTAGGCTGAAATATCAAAAATAGCACGTTTTGTCATATTTATCTACAAGGGAAAGAGACCACAAAAATGCCTTGTACCAAAATCGCAGAGAATTGGATCATCTATTAAAGTTGTCCTTTGAATCCTCATTTATGAGTTTTAGTGATATGTGGACCCTCAGGTATCTTTTGCTCTTACGTGGCTTGTCTCTCGTACACATCATGTATTTAGTTTTCAGTGTAAATGTGGAGGTAGTGATGTATACTTATACAGGGTGTCTCAAAAAAAGTGTCAGTAATTTTTCTAAAAATGCATTGTCCGAGCAACAAAAGGTTTGGATACAAAACGATTGAACGCGAAATGCTTGAAAACAGAAAAAAGACGGAAATAGTATTAATCCGTACCACCCAAACGCATCATGGACTGCTTAAGATGAGCTCAAAATGAACAAAAGGGAATTCGGATAAAAGTCATACCCACTTGAAAATAGTTTCTTGTCGATAATATGTCATTAGAATGGAAATGTCAAAAGTTCCCATCGATCGCTGGAGCGCAAAGCTTTGTATGTCAAACTTACCATTTTTATATTTCTCTGAAATGATACGACTGATTTTTCTAAAAATTCATTCCATGAGCAACCAAATGTTTGTGTACAAAACAATTGAATCTAAAATGCTTGAAAACTCAAAAAAGAAGTTAATAATCTTGATCCGTACGATTCAAACATCCTGGTCTGCTTGAGGTGCACTCAAAATGATGACGCCTCCTTGATGTTGATTTGTTTGCTTGAAAAACAACGCTTTTTTCAGGAATCTGATGGAACCGAATTTGGCCTCGTAATGCCCTATCTAACAGCCTCAAAATTGACAAAAACCATAGCAGGGCAACAAGAACTTGTAAACCTTGTTGATGAGAAGGCAGAAATTGATGGTTCTTTTGATCCTCTGGAAGAAAATGGCCAAAATGTTAATCGTGTGATGATGTGTGTGGACTTTGCCCTGCCCTTATTCAATGTAAGAGTTTTAGTATAATATCTCTTATTTTTAGATAGTCCTTGGACTGATTATTATATCTTTTTTTTAACCTGCTAGGCAAATGTTGAGTCCACAAAATTCACAAAGTTCTACTGTGACCAAATTCTGCCCAATTATTATGCAATAGGTACACTGAAGGAGGGCTCTACCCTACAGTATCATGCTTTGAAGCAACTGGCAGAGCTCAGTACACATTGTGGGAAACTAGAGAACCCATCCCTTCATGTGGTTCAGATTTTCGATAAATTGAAGGTAAGAGTAAGTTGTGCTCACTTTGAGCATGTATATGCTCAGTTTTCACTACTAACTGGAGAAATCGCCAGTACTTCCTCCATTGCCCTACTGAGAAGTAGTTTTTCTCTTTCTAGGTAAATTATAACAAAAAAACACCTAGTTAAGTAATAATGTCTTTTAAAATTGTATTTTGCATACTTCAGTAAGTTTGACAAATGAATTTGATACTTCCAAATAGTTATAAATATGTTGTAAATAATTATTACGATCACGTAGCTGTCTTTCTGAGTATTTCGACAACCAGAGAAAGTATTTGGAATACGACTTTTAATGCTAGCACAGTGAAAACAAAAAAAAAAACACTCTACTCCCCAAACGGAAATGGATCATTTCGACGGCCAAACCTGCTTCCATTTGCATTCCATTTTAGTTTGTCATTTTGACACGAGGCTACTTGATACCTCAAAGTATTTGTAAATTGGGTATGAAATGGCATGATCGTTCATTTGTGTAAAGGTTAGGGTAAATGACGCTGTACAATGAAAATTTTTGAATCTTACATATAATGATAATATAATGTAGTGATATGTAGTATTAGTAGTAAAAACATTCCACTCGTACCTTGTTTGAAAAGACCATCAGTGATCTTGCATATTATATCCCGTGCCGATATGCGTCCCAGGATCTAAAAGTGTGACCAATAAGGGCTTATTTCTAGATATGTACTGAAAAAGGAGCTTAAAATGTTTACCTTGTCACATACTCATTTTGTATGTCAGACTTCTGAAATAAAATTATGGGAACCATAAAGAATTTATTGATTAAATTTCATTGTATATCATATCAATATTGGAGTGAACCAAACCTGTAAATGGTAATAGTAATAATAATATTTATTCCAAATCTAGAATAACAAATACATTATACTCGTATGTACAAATGAAATAGATGTGGAACTAACGTCATACCCAAGCAAACGCAAAAGCGAATCATTCATGTACTCAGAAATATTGTATGGTTCCAGCTGAATTAAAACCCGTTTCAGGTGTTTTTTGAAGGTTCATGTACCTTCCATCACTTTCAAATGATTAGATAGTTTATTATACAACTTTGCGCACATATAGAAGGGGTTTTTTCAGTTACTGACAGCCTATGCTGAGGTAGCAAATCATTCAAAGCTCTTGTACCGTAAGTGTGATCATTTCGCGTGGGAACATTGTTTCTATTTTTCACTGTGAACATAACAATCAAAAATGTAAAGTGCATATACTTACATCAAACCCATACCCTTTAATACGCCTCTACATGTTTCTTTAAATTTCATATGTCTCGTTGCTCTTATGGTCCTTTTTTGAATAAAAAATATTTTTTGCAGTTTTGAGCTGCCTCCAAACAGTATTATTCCATAACTTAGAATCGATTCAAAATTTGCACAATATACAATTTTTAAACATTCTGCACTTATATAACTAGATAACACTCTTATTCCATAGCTGATGCTACTCAGATTGAAAGCAGTTTTGTTTATGTTTGGAGTTCAAGACAAAAATGCATCTAAATGTATTCCTAACACTTTAGTTTGCTGACTTCTTGGTTGTTACTATCAGAAAGTTTGATATTTTATGGTATATCAATCCGATTGCTTTGTTCTACATATATTATTAAATCAGTTTTGTCATTGTTTAATACAAGTTTATTCATTGTAAACCATTTATTCACTGATTCAAACACCTGCTGACCATTATGTTCCAATCCAGTGGTATTTTTGACGGTAATGAGAATGCTGGTATCATCAGCATAATTACTTATTGTAAAGTCATAATTCTTAATGCTACTCTTAGATCATTGATGTATATGAGAAATAATATGGGACCTAAAACACTGCCCTCTACCTCATTACACATGAAATCTGACTTGATATTATCTTTTCTTTATCGCTACACGTTGTTTCCTGTTTGTAAGATTTTACCCACGACAATGTATTAGTCCTCATTCCATATCTGTTCAATTTATCAAATAGTATGTTATGGTTTAAGCAGTTATATGTTTTAGAAAGGTCAAGAAATAATCCCATTATTATTAATAATTCCAAATTTTAGGGAATTATTAATAATACAACATAAAATATCTTTAAATTCTTTCACAATTAGCTTCAGCATGTTTGTTGGTATTTCGTGAGCACCATAACTGTACTTATTTTCCAGTTTGTTTGATATTATCACAAGATCATCAGGTTCAATTGGTTGAAAGTTAAGCGTTTCAGTATTGTAGGGAATACCACAATTATACGTAACATTTTGCAACAGATTAGGTACTAAATCAGTGAAATGACTGTTTGTAGCATTAGTTATTTAATAAGGGTATCCAGGAATTTTGAATTCGTCAATACGTTTAACATTGCCTCATATGTCATTACATAAAGCCCACATAATTTTTGATTTTTTTGTCTGATTTGTAAGTTTTATTTTCCATATATTTTTTCCGTTCTCCAATTAATAAATTATCAGATTCCTTTTTAGTGTTGTCATAGTCTTTTTTAAAATACTTTTTGTCTCTGTATAAAATCACTAACTTGTCTAACCTGTTTTTGTACTGTTGTATTTTTTCATTTGACCGCAGTTGCTTTATGTATGTGCATTTTTTAGGGAAGCACATTTTGAAAATATTGATGAGATTCGTTATAAATACTCGTAATTTCCACTGATTACTAACGTCTTGCTTAGGAACGTCTCGGACATCTTGCCAATCCTGTTGTTTCAACACATCTACAAATTGATTTTTTGGATTTTCTGTAAAAAATCTTCTGTAAGTAATAGCATTCGCAGCGGGCTCATACTATACCAGATTAACATTTAGGGGTGATGCTAGTATAGCTATTAATTTTGGGTTTTAAGGAAAAAGAGTTCATAAGGGAGAACAGTTCATTTTTAAGGTTGTTTTCATTAACCATTTCAACATTAAAATCACCTGCTATTATAAGTGCTTTATTCGTGTCAAGATGTGTTAGAAGTTCATCGAGTGTCAAGAAAAATTTACTTCGGTCACCATTTGAAGGTCTATATATGGCACAACATTCAACGACCTGTTACGTTACCTCCACGAGTACAAGGCCAAACAACTGTGCTCTGAAAAGCCTGTGACGTCACGCAATGTAGGACTATGCATGTTCTTAAGGAGTTTCGCGATGCCTAGCTGGCAAGAGAACCGCGCCACCATTTCTCTGCGGTGTTGTCATAACTAGATTTGATATAGCAGTATCGAAATCTCTACTAATTAGTTGTACCTCTCTGTGGGCGAATTTGCAAGATGTACTCGGGGCCTGCGCAGCTTCAGTGATGATGTGATTATTCTTTCTGATCTGCCTCAGTATGTCAAGAATACATTTTCGATATTACGTTCAATCTGTCACTTGTGAAGTCTAATATTCCATTCAAAATTGGAATATGTAGCAACCTTGGTAACACCGCTAACATGCAACAGCTGTCCAACAGCCAACTAACCTCACATTCTGACCCTCTACTATGTATCTTTCTATGCTATGTAAACTGAAAATTATTGATGTTTTAAACTTATATTTGTGTCTCGCGATTGTTTAGCTAAGCTTTCAAAATACCTTGCAAGTGCTGCGTTCCTAATTGTGCCGGTAATTACGGGAAGGGCCCGAAGGTACACGTATTTTCGTTTCCATTGAATGAAAACTGTCGTAAAAGATGGCTCAATGCAATCCCTCGTAGTAATTTAGTGGTTACAAAAAACACCCGAGTATGCAATTTGCACTTTGCTGAGGACAGCATCACTTGGGAATCCACCTTCCATGCAATTCCGTGACGAAAAGACAGGTAGGACCATTACTGTACCCCTTAAGTATCCAAAATTAAAGCCTGATGTAATTCCAAGTATCTTTGCAAATTGTCCAAAATACCTTTCAAACAACATATCAAGCAGAAGAAGCCGAGATGAGAAATTGAGGGACAAGGAAAACTACTTAAAGTACTGCAAAGTAGCATTGATGATTATTCCTACTATCAAAAAAAAAACAAGTTTTCACAATTATTCAGACTTTCTCACAGTTTTCAGTTCATGGCAATGTCCATATGGGTGGCAGAAAATTGTTCAGGATAAAGTTACTTTGTTTAAGTTAGAATATAAACCAGCACCCATCATAACTCACTCTGTAATTTTTGATATTCATTGATATTGTATGGAAGTGGTGGAGTATTGTCAATGTAAAAAGTTCATTGAAAGGAAAGTGGTTAAATGACCTTTATGCAGAGCTTATTGTTTGCTCCAACAGTGATGGACAAGGTGATGACAGTAAGCTGACATTCTTGCAAAAAATGCTAGATTGGCTAGAAGAGTGGAATGATCCAGCAAAATTTTCAAAAAGACTAATTAGTCAGACTTACACTGCACTACATCATACAGTATATGGATTATTGGAATTAGTTAGGTACTGTAAATCTGAACTGCACAGTAATTACATATTGTTAGGTAACCTTCAAACTGACTCATTGGAAAATAGATTTGGTAAGTATCGTCAACTATACAGGGTGTCCGCAAAGTTGGGGTTTTCCTTTTCAGAAACAACTACCCTTGAAATAACAAAGGTAATGTGTAGTGAAACGAGGGCAACCAAGTAAAAAAATAAAGGAAAAAGTACTCACTCTCCAGTTGACGAAAAGGGCTAAGTACGTCTCTGCCCGAAATCATACCACTCCAACAGAAAATGAAATCAGCTGATACGCTACCGAGCAGACGCAGAAACCACATTGATTGTCTTACACTTAATGGCACATCTTCTAACAAGGAAGGCAAAATGTTGCGTAAAAAGTCTAGGTATTGCATCCCGTCCAATCGATTTGGGAGAATAAATGGTCCAATGAGCATACCGTTCACCATGCCAGCCCAAACATTCACCGAAAATGTTTGTTGAAAATGTGCCCGACGGACAGCGAGCGGATTTTCTACTGACCAAACATGAGTGTTGCGAAAGTTATTCACCCCATTACGCGTGAACG